TGCATGAGGATGCACTGGCAATTCTGCCACAAGATCAGGATGATGTGGAGATGAAGACAAGAGTAGAAATGTTCCTCCTTCAAGGACACCACTGTTCTGCTCCCCATTTCTCTCTCAGCTCTTGTCTATTGCCAACATTTCCAGTTTTCTCTCTCCTCCACAAACACTGCAGAGTCAGCTCCAGGGCTTCATCTAGTCTAGCCTGACATATCTGAGTTCTTGAAGCCCATCCTCAGACCTTCTGCTGCACTTCAGACTCTCTGAGGTTGCTCATACCGTGAGCCAGGGGAGAGGCTTTAGGAGAAGGAGGTAAGAAGAGCTCATGTTCTTCAATCTACACTCAAAGATCACTTGAAGTGGCCACAGCAGACATTGATGATGGACTGAGCTTCTCCACCACTTGTCCAGACCACATGAACCAAGAGAATTGGGTTCTCCCACCACAGAACTCAGCCTACAGGGTAACTTGAGGTTGCATTTACACACACCTGAATGTTCTACACATAGACCACCTGCATAATGGGCTTCAGCTCTGGAAGGAGTGGGAGGCTGGACAAAGGCTACCCAAGAAGTCTTGGATGATGGCTGGGAGAAAACTGCTCCATTTCTCAAATTTCATCATAACAACCAGACAAAAGGCTTCACAGAATAAAAGGAAATAGGAATGAGAAGTCCAGCTTCATGTAGTGGATGCAGTTATCCCCAGATCTCTGTGACATGGAGGCACTACTGAATCTCCATAGTCAGCTCCATCCCATAGACAAGTTGCCTTCATCTCAGACAAGGCAAAACCACTATTTTTCCGTATTAAAGTTGCCAACACAGATATTATTTATAAAACTTCAATGAGAATACATCTGCACAAAATAACTGACACCGTGTTCCCTGCGTGGCATATGCAGTCTCAAAATAAACATTGATTCTATATGTTCACTGCTTCCACAGAGCATCCAAGCAGCAGGAAATGCATGAAACATGGGGAAAGAATGGCGCGCTGCGGCGCTCGGCAGTGGGAGGTAACATTGAATTCCTTGGAGAGCAGAGAAGGCGGCCCTGGGAGTTAAAATACACAGCAGGCAGAGAGATGAGAGAAGCCAAGAGTGCTGAAAAAAATGGCACAAGAGACGAGAGAGGCAGCTGGGGGAGTTAAAACATGCAGATGGAGAGATGGCTGAGAGAGAGGAAAGACCTGGATCCAAGTGGAAAGACGACGACCAGGAACTGGCCACTTAAAATAAACTTTTCAAGGCGAAAACGAAGGAGTGAGTTTTCCAGGAATCTGAAAACCACTGCTGGGAGCACGTAGCTTGCTCTGGGAGGGGTGTGACTCCCACCCAACTGCAGCACTGTCACCCACTTCCACTCAGGCTTCAATGTGAGGCAGGAGAGTCGCTCCCCTCCTTCACCATGATCCCAAATGCAAATGACTTGGAGGATCCAGATTGCAACTTCTGATTGCAGCTCTCCAGCCTCCAAATAATGAGCCATCATGCTCGTCCTTCTCATTTATAGACACTGTGAGGATTACTATAAATACATGGATAATGCACGCCTGGATGTCACTTCCATTAAAAACGCCCAAGTGGAGCTCAAATTCTACTAAATTTAAGAAGTTAAACTTTTCCCCAAATGCTCCAAGTTCTTTTTCCCCAAAATGATGTTTCACCTCTGACCATGTCCTTCAGGATCCACTTTTAAAGATTGTGAGTTGACATCAGGACTATCAATCCCTCAGGTATGAACAAGGGTAACACCAGGACTGTGAATCCCTCAGGTATGGACAGGGATGCACTCCATGTCCCAAGGGAACTTTCATGTCCTACAGCAATACCACCACCTCTAGCAGTGTGGCCAAACCACACCTCACTCCCTGTCCCTGCTGTTTCTCACTCACAGGCTTACAGGAATCCAAAGATACTTGATGGAAAATGAAACAGTAGGCACAAAGCTCTACGGAGAATTTAGGCAGGCAAAAGCAGTGCCCAGATATTTTTATATCTACGGAGTTTCATGGTGATGGGAAGGAAAATATTCCCTCACAAACCTATTTCTATTAGTTAAAATGATTTTTGAGGATGTTCTCCTGTGTGTCCACAGATAAAAATCAGTTTTGAGGCTTGCACAGAGCACAGGTGCAATTAGTAAAACTCTTATCAATACAAAAAGTTATGTTGCCCCTAAAGATGAAGCAAATCTTATTATGAGTTTTACTTTGCCCCCAAGAATGAAGAAATTTTACTCAGTTTTATTTAAGTTTAGGAAGACCCGTGATGGTCCTCAGTGTTTGCTGTTGGAGACAATAATTTAAAGACTTGTCTTCTACAAGCTCTGAATTTTTGCACTTAAAGGTTTGTGTCTGTTGATAGCCAGAATAGCAAAGATCCTCTGAAGTGAAGCAATAAAACAGTTTGTCCTCTGGGGCAACATTTTTCAGAGGAGTTAATCACCACAGTGTGGTTAGACGGGAATCAGTGTTAAGCCTGTGGTTAACACATGCAAAGCCTTAGTTCTTACACAAGACTATGTGTAAGCCCTGAGTAAAGTACTCCAGAGTAAGGTGTCACTCCTGAGCACCTCCCCAGCAGATCCCCAGCAGGTAGATCATGGCCTGGAGGACTCTCTTGGTAAGAAAGGGTTTTGGGATACGGAAGAGGCTGCAGAGATTTTGTTAAGGAGAATGAAGTGAAAATCAAACGTTTTGCACAAAATTAGGGAATCTGGAATCCACCCCTTGTCCTTATGTGTCTCCAGAAACCACCTCCAAACTCTGTCTTGCAGAAAGTATTGCCAAGACTGTGCCCTGCTGCAGGGAACCACCACAGTCCCTTTGAGAAAGAGAGGAAAACAGCATATTTGGGGCAAAAAGGGCTGAAAAAAAACTTATTTTACAGTTCCCAAAACAGAGTTTGTTGCCCTGTTTCTCCTCACCCCCAGGCCAGGTGGGAAACTGATATTGCTAGGAGGCTCTGGGTGCTCGAGAGGTATCAGACTACATCCATCTTTTTTAATTTAGATGTTAAAAAATCAGTCTCCAAATGTACAGAAGCACACCCCCCACACCCCTCCCCTTCCGTTAAGGAGAGAAAATTGCCCAAGGGTGTTTCTACAAGGGTAAAGAAAGCTCATCAAAGCTATGGGTCAAACCCTAATAGTGCTAATTGCTGTTTACTCTGTCAGTGCAGTGCTTTAGAGCAGCCACTATCAACACATTTGTTTACAGAGTGCCTCCAGCTTGGCTGTCCGGACAAAGGCAGCAAGTCCTTTAGCATTCCCATCTTTCAATGGACTAATCAGTCTCCAGAAGCTGCCAAGGTGATCCCCACCCCACTCATCATTCACACCTAACGAGCCGCTGATGGGTGTCCTAAGGAGCCATAAGCACCCAACGGTTCCAAACCGGCTCACAGCATCCCTGAGGTGAAGGAAATGGGGAGGTGAAATTGTGAAAGCAATGTGAGAGAATGGCCAATAGATAGGGAAGTTGGGGGGTTTTGTTGACATTCCTTTCTGCTGCGAAATAATTGAGCAACTTTGTCTAGTTGGAAGGTGTGCCTGCACAGGGCAGGGGGTGGAACGAGATGGTCTTTAAGGTCCCTTCTACCACAAAACATCCCACTATGATAACCGGACATGAAATAATCAGCCTGCCCTTTCCTCCCTACTTTCCTAGTACTGATGCTCCAAGGAATCATCTGCTAGGAGAGATTCTGCCTCAGTGATGGAAGGCAAATTTCTGCAGGATATATGAAACATATATTCTTATTTGAAGAGTGGCTGAGGGCACTTGGCTTGTTCAGCCTGGAGAAGAGGAGACTGAGGGGAGACCTCATTGGTCTTCCTCATGAGGGGCAGTGGAGGGAACAGCACTGATCTCTGCTGTTCATGACCAGTGACAGGACCCAAAGGGAATGGCATGGAGTTGTGTCAGGGGAGGTTTAGGTTGGCTATTAGGAAAAGGCTTTTCCCCCAGAGCGTGGCTGGGCCCTGGAATAGCTCCCCAGGACAGCTGTCACAGCCCCAAGCCTGACAGAGCTCAAGGAGCGTTTGGACAATGCTCTCAGGCACATGGTGGGATTGTTGGGGTGTCCTGTGTGGGACCTGGAGTTGGACTGGATGATCCTTGTGGGTCCCTTCCAACACAGGATGTTCTATGATTCTATGATATTCTATGATTCTGGGAAGCCACAGGACATCAATGAAAGAAAGTGCAAGTGAGTTCAAACAGGGAATGAGCAAGTCCAACAGTGCCCAAGGAGGTCTGGATGCAGCATGTGGTCAGCAAGTCTCTATATTCCCTCTCGCCAGCCGAGACCCCATGCCAAGACCCAGTCTGACCCCACATGGGAGCTCTAACATTTGCTAAGTGGAGGACTGAAAACTTATCGACAGTTTTCCACTGAATTCAGAGAGTTTTGCCTTACACTGACCCTGCAGAATAGGATTATTTGAACTGCTGATGTGTCAGAGAGATGATTTAAAAAATCACATCAATATAACACTTTAACAGCCTCAACACTGGACCAAAATGATGACACATGAGAATTTTAATCAGCAGAAAAAAGTCTTTGTCGGGTCAGATTTGAGGGTGACCTTCTCTCTCCCTATAGCTCCCTGAGAGGAGGTTGGAGCTAGGCAGGGTTCAGGCTCTGTTCCCAGGTAACAAGCGACAGGACAACAGGAAACAGGCTCAGTTGTGCCAAGACAGGTTTAGATTGGATACTAGCAAACATTTTTTCATGGAAAGGGTTGTCAAGCATTGGAACAGACCATCCAGGGCAGTGTTGGAGTCATCATCCCTGGAGGGATTTAAAAGCCATGTGGATGTGGCACTTGGGGAAATGGTTAGTGTTGGCCTTGGCAGTGCTCGGGGAATGGTTGGACTTGATGATCTTGAAGGTCCTTTCCAAGCCAAACAATTCCATGATTCTATGACATATCAATGAATGACACCTACTGAGGATCTTTTCTCACTTCCCCTTGAGAGTTTCCCCAACACTTACTTTTCCAGTATGGACATAATAATTGGAGGTAGAACCAGTATAGGCATGGGCAGGACCACTCTCGTCAGGGCTGTTTCTAGCAGTGCCTGCAAAGGGAAAACAAACAAACTTAAGACATTTCAAACAAATCCCAGGACGTACCTGCGTGGGCTCAGGAATTGCTTAGCTGGTGTGTCTTGTGTTGCTTATGGGAAGGAAAGTATCAACACACACTTTCAACTTGGTTATCAGCTGTTTGTACACAACCTGTTCTCCCTCCACCCTCGGTCACAAATACAGCAGAATAAAGAGTGACACCTAATAGCTTCCCTGATTTCACTTTAGGTGACCAAAAGTGTGCAAACATCCTGTCACATTCCTACACAAACATGTTAGTGCTGCCTGGAGGGAGAAAGGGAGGCAGAACAGCTGCCAGGAAAATGCTGTAAGGTGAAATATCTCAGTAGGAGCTGAGCGGCAACTTCAACTCTTCCTCCCTCAATTCAACAGAGGGGGAAAGCAGCACCTTACAGACTGCTCCAAGACTTGTTCCTGGTTTTTAATCACTGGTGATTTATTGTAAAGTATTGGAACACACAGGACTCTCCTCTCCCAGGAAAACACCCAACTGTGTCGGTACAGTTGTCCCTCCACACTTTCTTCCTGGCAAGATTCACCAGGAAGCAGCAAAGCAGCATGATATGAACAAATTACCCTGAGATCTAGAGAAGATCTTTCAGAAGAACAGACAATTACCTTCTAGCACCTTCCAGTATCTTAAAGGGGTCTAAGAGAGCTGGAGAGGGACTTTGCACAAGGGTCTGGAGTGACAGGACAAGGGGAAATGGCTTCACATGGACAGAAGACAGGGTTAAATGGGATATTGGGGAGGAATTGTTTCCTGTGAGGGTGGTGAAGCACTGGCACAGGTTGTCCAGAGAAGCTGTGGCAGCCCCTGGAAGTGTTCCAGGCCAGGTTGGATGGGGCTTGGAGCAACCTGGTTTAGTGGAAGGTGTCCCTGCCCATGGCAGGCGGTGGAAACAGATGATTCCCATGGCAGGGGGTGGAACTAGACGATCTTTAAGGTCTCCAACCCAAACCATTCCATGATTCTATGTCTCTGTGAGGTCCTTGGGTTCACAACAAACCCTCAGAGAGGTGCAGATACGTTACACTAAGGATCTGCCAAATTTTTCATGCCAAAACCCAGTCACAAGCTATTCAGGAAGAAACATTAGGATTAGATGGCAGCTGAGCAGAAGTTCTCAGAACACCCAAATTTTATGTTTAAACTCCACCTACATCACTCTCACAGCACCTTCACTTCTAGTATTTATTTTCTCTGTTGTCTGTCTTCCCCTCAGCCATTATGATGGAGAGGGGAAGTTGGGTCCTGAAGCCAGTTAATGTGAGTGAGGAAAACTGGCTCAAAGAAGTATCTCTGAGCCCTTCAACAGATTGTTTTAATCTCCCTGTTAAACAACAATATGGAGAGATATTAGAGATCTCCCATTTCTTGCCGAGGACTGTAAATCTGTACATTAATTGCTGTCTGTGAAGTGCCTTAAGAGCCTTGGACAGAAGGAGGGAGAGAAATGCCAAGCATTATATTATTAACTCCTCTGCCTGGGCGTGTGCTTTGGTACACGCTTTACATTTCAGATGAAAGCCCACTTGGAAACAACATGCCTCAGACAATCAGATGATGCTCAGGAGACAAAACTATGCATGAAGGGATGCAAAGAGATAAATTTCAGGCAGATGGAAGAGGGTAGGTTAGAGGGGAAAGCAAACTAGGTGTTAGGATGAGGGTAAAAACATCTGTCTCCCCTTACAAAGCTTTGGTTGGTGACTTTTCATGCAGTTTAGACACAGGAAGGGTTAAAAAGCTGCTCAGCTCGGAAATGAAGTCTTCCTCATTTAGAAAAAGGTGTAAGTTATCTTTGCTTCATATTCAACATGAACTGCTTACAAGTTCCCACAGAGAATTCCTGTGAAAGCATCAGGGGAGTAGAGGATCTTCCTGATGACAGTCTCTGCCCTTTCAAACCATCAAGGTCAGGTCCCAAATTTCCCTTCATGACACAAGATCATGTCCAGTGGAACACTCAGTTGATGGGCAAAGCTCATCTATTTCTAGCTCTTTCAAGCCTCAATGCCTACATCTGTGGGAATTGTTGAGACTGAAAACCAGCAGTGTCCAAACTCACCAGGAGTATCACAGGTACATACGTGTTTTGCAGCAATTCTGGAAGACCCAACAATGTTTCCATTACTGTCCAAAACATCAATTCCTTCTTCCAGCTCCGTGTGCCTCATCAGGACAACATTGCAGATATTGGCACTAGCTGAGGATGAGAAAAGCAGGACAGTTATCCCTGGTCAGTACCCAATGGCAGACTCCTGTTTGCCATAACAACCCTTCAGCTTTTCTTTCATCAATCTGCCGAGGAGTTCCTGTGAGTCGCCCTTATGTCAAGACAAAGATGGGATTCTTAAAAGGAGGGGGATAACCAAGATAATTTTCCTTACATGCAAAACAATCTGCCGCCACAGTTGCAGATGTACTGATCCAGTGAAACACCAGGATTTTCACATGTTGGTGTCCATACATACTCCTATCCTTGCACTGGTCCTTTCATTGGGTTGCCAGTTGGGCTTGGCCAACCAGGCACTGCTGATTGATAGCTGCCTCCGCTGATGGCACATCCCAGTGTGGGTTGGAACTGCCCTTTCCAAGCCAGCAGACAAACTCTTCTTAAATAATGGAGTTTCATAGAATCATGGAATCTTCACATGTTGGTGTCCATACATACTCCTATCCTTGCACTGGTCCTTTCATTGGGTTGCCAGTTGGGCTTGGCCAACCAGGCACTGCTGATTGATAGCTGCCTCCGCTGATGGCACATCCCAGTGTGGGTTGGAACTGCCCTTTCCAAGCCAGCAGACAAACTCTTCTTAAATAATGGAGTTTCATAGAATCATGGAATCGTTTGGGTTGGAAGGGACAAGGTCATCTCCTGGCCATGGGCAGGGACACCTTCCACTAGACCAGGTTGTTCCAAGCCCCATCCAAGATATCCTTGAACATTTCCAGGGATGGGGCAGCCACAGCTCCTCTGAACAAATAGTCAGGAGTACTACTGGAAGGTCTAGTAGAAGGTGTCCTGCCCATGGCAGGTGGTTGGAACTAGATGGTCTTTAAGGTCTCTTCTAATCCAAACCATTCCATGATTCTATGATTTCCCATATTTTAGGATGGAAATGTCTCTCTGGGCTTATTTTTTAGAGTTAGAAACCCATTTCTTTGCTTTAGCAACAATTTTCTGAATGATGACACAAACCAGAAATGCTTTGGATAGATAGATCTTCATCCCACCTGACATTTCCCAGATCTCAGTCCTGCACTCACAGCAGAGGTGGCAGCAGGTCCAAGACCCTTTCTGACACGTCCCTACCCTTGCCCAGCCTGCAGCCTTCTCAAGATAACCCCAAATTCTGCTCCTCAAGTAGTGTATTATGAGTTGGGGTTGAGAAACACCCTTCCAGGTTGCAGCCCCTCTCCAGAGCTCAGACACTCCTTAAATTTCTCCCAAGCAATGCCTCTAATTCCTCCAAAAGTTTTGGTTTTGATCAAGTGGCATTTTCCAGCACCCCCCACACCACATTTCATCACCAACTTTCCAAGCAGAACTAATACAAACCCACTGTTGCTGCAAGTACCACTGCTTTCCAAAAATGTGTTTCTGCACTGCTTGATGGGTTAATATTCACTAATTAATCTCAATTCATGTCATCTAACAAATGTCTAATTTTTTTGAGGGTAGTGGGTGGGTGAGCCCTATAGGAACGCAGCTCTCTGCAATCAAGGATGATTTGTGGTGACAAATGCTCCTTACACTCGAGAAGAAGAGGAACATACACACACGCACACTCTGTCTCTCTCTTTAATATTCGAAGCACCGGACCACTCTTCCCATCTATCAAAATATCTGTGTTACCAACCCTTCAGCTCCTGAATCCAAGAGGAAAAAAAAACAAACCAGGCATTTCATTTAAAGAAAGTTTAGCCCTCTTATTTTTTTACTTTTTAACACTCACATGCCCTAGCCTTCTAGTTGTCAATCAAGACTGAACAGAGATAAACAAGCCAGCAGAGATGCTCTGGCCAAGGATGCACCAGCACAAGGCTCTTGCATGACTCATGGTTGGATGTCCAGACCTGAAGTGCCCAAGATGCTTCTCCAATCTCTCAATTCACTGACCTGTTACCAAATTGTACACCTGATTCCACCCTGGTTGTCTGAGACAAGAAACTCTGAGCTGCTCCTGTTCTGCCTTCTGAGAAAGCAGAAAATGCTGTTAATTATGGCTAAACTTGGATTTTATGGATGTCTCAAATACAGGGTGGGGGGGTGAGAAATAAATAAATATATGTGCAAATTGTTTCTCATAATTTGGGAAGAAATTGTGATAATATAGCCTGGAAACTAATGCTGTGAAAACAGTTTGCGGCATATTGGAAGTGGGGGTCAAACACAAAACCAACCACCACCCCACTCCTATATGTTTATAGATATTTCTTCTGTCTCAGGGTGCTCACCACACACTAAATACATCTTTGTGCATCACCTCAACACATGTAACAATTTTAACCACACACATGCACAAAAAAAAAAAGCTAAAGGAGAAGTAAGCCTTCATCCTTCTCCCCTCCCTGGTCTCTTTCTACCAGCTTTCCTTCAGAGCAGGTTTGGGATGCAACTTTTGGGGTTTTCTGAGCATTTTAAGCCACAAACATGTCCAGAATAAGGCACATCAGCACCAGTGGTATCCCTTACCTTCCTGACAGCTGTTCCCACCCAGTGCTTGGGAAGAAGAGAGTAAATTGGGTTCCCTGAAATAAGCTTAGGCATTGATATCTTTTATCCCCTACATCTCCAGGAAAGGGTCAAGCCCCTCCTTGCTCAAATTCAGGAATCACAGCTCTCCAGAACACAGCCCTGACACACTCCTTCCTTTCTCCTCTTCCCCTCATGGAGAACACCTTCACCATGCAGATTATGCTGCAGGGTGGCCAACATCAAGCCCAAACCACTTTTATACCAGGACAGCCAAAGTGTCTGCAGAGCCTTGGCCATTTCCATGAGCTGCTCCACCTAGGTTGATTTCCCAGATCTGTTTCATGGAGCTGGGGAGGTTTCCTTGGATTAACATGTGACTTTCAGCTACTACAAATTAAATTTGGAGGAGGGTGAGGGTGTGGTCTGACATCCTAGCACTACTTCTGTTAAATCTGTCCTGCAGGCATGACACCTACAGATATGGGTTATTTTATCATGCAAAAAAAAAGTGCTACATGACCTATGCAGAGCATCTCTGAGGGCAGCAAGACCTGCAGATCAGCTTTCCCAGTGCCAAACCTCCCAAAGCTTTCTGGAGTCTTTATGAACATCTCTGCTCAGAGTCTGGTTGCTTTCCACCCAAGCAGTAGCTTCCCTTGCCCAAGTCTGCATCTCCCATGATAACTCAGGATGAGAGACCATAAAGCTTTGATGCATGTCTCATTTTTTTCAAATGGTGTAGAATAGAATAGAATTGAATCATCAAGGTTGGAGGAGACCTCTAAAATCATCAAGTCCAACCATAAACCTGTTACTCTGCTGTAACCCCTAAGCCCTAGACCATATCTTCCAGCACCAGGTCCAGACACCTCTTAAACACTTTCAGGGATGGTGACTCCACCACCTCCCTGGACAGCTCCACCACCTCTCTATCAATCAGCACAATGCAGCAAAGATCAGTGGGAGAGAGAGGCAAAGAAGGGATGAGGGAAAACCTCTTAATGGTAGTGGTTTCATATAATTCTAAGGCTGGACAAGACCACAAGACTGAGTCCAACCATTAACCCAACACTGCCAAGTCCACCACTAACCCATGTCCATGAGTACCACATCCAGATGCCTTTTGGAGCAAGAACTTTTCATGTAGGAAAAGAGAAATTCTGCCTTTTTGCTGGGGGCTTGTGGTTCAACAAATGACAGGAAGACAAATCTTAATGAAAGCTTGTCCAGGTCTGTAAACCAATAACTCACAGCTTTCCAAAGCACAAAACAGTAATTAGCGGGAGGAAGATTCCTGATTGTCCTGGCACATGATGGTACACAAATTAAACGGGAGCTAGACAATTAATTACAGGATAAACAAATTAATTACGTGTCCTCAATCAATGCTGACACAAATGTAACCTCTTTCTCCTTACACCTTGGGATGAAAATAGATCGGCCCAATGGCAAAGGTTTCCTGAGTGAGTCTCTGACTCAAACACACCTTGGAGCTGCTTTCTGGAGCTTGCATTCATCCCTAGTGCCCTCCTGGTTATAAAAACCCAAAGAAATATGAAACCCTCTACAACATATTCCAGAAAGGTTCCAGGAAAATAATAATGTTCACAGATCCTCTATGTACAAGCAAAGTGTTCAGGAATAAGATGATGTCCAACCCCCAGACCACAGTCCCGGTCACCTGCAGACAGAGCAAGTGGCTGCTTTTCTGGCAGAAAGGGGGGGGGGGAGAACAACCAGTTCTCTGATATAAAAAAAGGCGTATAAAGAACAGAAAGACAGAGTAAGAACCAGGTAAAGGGATTTGGCATCCTTGAACAAAGCTCTAAGGATGTGGCCCATGCACAGCAAAGGGAAAAGCTTAAAAAAAGTTTTGCATTAACACAGTTGAAAAGGGATCTGCAACAGGCAGCAAAACACTTTTGTTTACTGTTTTCCTCCCTGCTTGGGCAATTTTTGCAGCATCTTTGTAAATAAACAAGCCAGCTTATACAGAAAATTGTCCTAATGCCACCAGTGATTTCTTCACAGCTAAAATAAGCCATTGTTTGCTAAAGGTTGCAATCACAGGCTCCAGTGTGTCCCTTCCCTCAAACTCTGAGCAGGTAGCTGATAAAATGCTGACAAAATGTTCCAACAAGCCTACAGCAGCCTTAATTCTTCACACACTTTGGTCTGTTTTTAATCAGCAGCTCTTAGAAATCTGAATATTCAGAGTAGAATCATTTCATTGCATTTTGTTGCAAAAAAACCCTCCTAATGCTATTGCTTATTTGAAGATTTGATTTGAATAATTCAAACCAGATCTTGCAAATTAAATGCTCTCAAACATGAGCAGTCAAGGACCAGTCAATGCTGATCATTTTTGAAGATGCTTGAGAGTGGAAAGTGCAGCTGAAAAGCCTTGTGAGCTGCTTCCACCAGCAGTTTTGCATCATTTCCCTGCCAAAATGCTGCTTTGCACCCTTCCATCACTATCTGTACTGACTCAGGGACACACTACTGAGGGGACACGGGAAGGCAGGAGTTAGGTGTCCATCCCAGTGGCTTTTGGCCACCAGCAGGTTTAGAGCCAACACTGTAAATAGAAAGAAAAGGTGTTATTTCTTACCGACGGCAGGGAACGGCACAAACCTCTGGATCAAGAGACGAGTGGATGGGGTAAACTTGTTTGCTCTCTGGATCAGAACATTAAGGCCCACCTGTGAATGGGATAAAACAAAACAGAGAACAAGAAACAGTTAATTAGTAGCAGGGCAGATATCACAGCTTGTAGACAGCAGTATAGCTCTGTAGGGGGGACAGATTGGGGTCTCTCCCCACGCAGAAGAGTTTGAGAACCCGACCCCCCCACATGCTGCGGGGTTTAGCTGTGTTGGGTTCAACTCTTTATCCAACAAGGAGTTAAACCCAACTGCTGAGCTTAAATGAATGTTTGAGCCCAATTGTTTGGCTTTTATAGAGGGTTGAACCCAACTGTTGGGTTTAAATGAAGGGTTCAACCCAAGCATTGGGTTTATATGAAGGGTTGAACCCAACCATTAGATTGAACTCAACCATTTGGTTTAAATGAAGGGCTGAACACAAGTATTGGACTTATACAAAGGGTTGAATCCAAACACTGGGTTCAACCCAACTGTTGGATTTATATAAGGGGCTGAACCCAAACTTTGGGCTTAAATGAAGGATTGAACTCATTGGGTTTAAACACTTTCTAGCTAAAAGACAAGCTAAAAACCACAGCAACACCATTCAGTCCTTCTGGAAATGCCCTTAACTACATTTTAATCCTGTTCACCAGCATTTTCCACATCCAGCACAATCTCCTTGGGGCTGAGAGCTCTCACCTGGCTAGGAAAGTAACAGGGGTAGTTGTGCCCAACACAATTCATTTCTTCTCCTAGGGTCTGTGCAAGCTACCCCATCCAAATCCCATGCAAACATTTAGGCTATAAAATTTGTTATAACCATAGATCTGTTCTTGTTGCCTCATCCAACACTTGAATAATGTAGAGCTCTCCATAGTTTTTCATGGATCTAAGTCATTTGTATGTTAATGCAAACAGCACAGAGGAGAGACACTGCCTCATCAGCCTCAGGCTGATAGTAGCGATAGTTTGGAGAATCTCCATCAGTATTGGTTTCAAGCAGAAGTGGGGTTAAAAATGAAACAAACCTAATCATGGGGAATAACTTCTGCCTTCAAATTACTCTTCCTTACAATATTTTCTCTTTTTCATCCAAAAAAAACTCCACCTCAAACACACAAACAAAACCCACCAGCCCCAAACTGGGAATTTTCAGCTGAAAATGGAAGTCTTTAGCAATGTGTGGCCAAAAAGTTTTCAGCCAAAAATGCAGCAAAATAAAAAAAAACTAAAATAAATTCAGCCAAAGCCAAAAATCTGCCAGAAAATAGTGATTTGGGGGCTTTTACAAAGAAAAGCAAAGCATGGGAGAACATATTTTGCAAGCTGCTACATTATACATTCATCTGCAGTGCATCTCGGCACTTTGGAGACTGAGAGGAAGATGTTGAGAAGCACAACTGCTGGGTAGGCTCTGCATAAGTAGAGTGCTGGTTTTCAAATCCCAGCAAGACTTTCCAGAG